TGTACGATTTACTGTTCTTAAGCTATGTTCAGTTTATAGACTACTACCTCCCACGTTCACAGTCACTTTTTGGCTTTATTGTGTACAAATGTTATTTCCTATTTTATGGTGCGTTGCGGTCTGTTTGATTGATATATAAACCTGGTATGTCTTAAATAAATGATTCGATTCGCTATTGGAAGCTGGTATTTGGTGTTCTGGACTCAAGTGGACGGGCTAGGCGGGCATAGGACCGATAAGGACGCTAGACTGCTCATACCGGTCGAACGTCATTGGTTTGGCACAGTGCTGACATTTTATAAGTCGTATTTTGATTAGTGGACAAATCACGTGATAAAAGGCCGGACATAAACTCATAACATGGAGTATAGTTATTATAATAATACGGTTTATTTTAATAATTTATAATGTATATATATTTAAACAATTAGCGGCGAGACTATATATTTATGGACAAATCAATCAGGTGTAAGATAAGACTTAATAGCGTCTTAGCATTTTAGGTAATGTCAGTTCATGATGAAATCCCTAAATCTAGTTCCTAACCCTAACCATCAAATGTAAATCATAAGTCTAATTTCTTACATTGCTTTATAGTCATCATTTCGTCCTAGTTAGTAAGTGGATGTTATCATGGTTACTTTAATGTCGCTCAAAGTTCGTCCATATATTATAGTTTCATCCAAATAGTTTATAGCAGATCACGTGCAGTCGTGTTTGTTCACATTTAATTTGATAAAGCCGTTTTTGTTAACTTATTTAACACGGATAGAGTTATTCGTACAATAACAAGTTATATCGTTGTACCTTTATTATTGTTGCACTTCTATGAATAGGTATGTTTGAGCATTGCTTACTGCCTATATATATATATATATATATATATATATATATATATATATATATATATATATATATATATATATATATATATATATATATATATATATATATATATATATAGTCGCTTAATTGATTCGATGATTCATTCATTACCCTATGTGTATATATGTACATTTTAATCCTGTTCACTCGCACGTTTGCTTTTCGCACTACTCTTTCATGCTTGTTTAGCGTACTTGTGATTTTGATTATCTATGTGTGATGCAATAATAAACGTAATCAACACTTCGTATTCGCCTTCTGATTAATACACCGTCAGGAACATTATCTAGTAACGTTTATCAGGACGAACAGTATACGAATTTTAAGCATTATATTGATTACCGACCATTACAAACTAATGAACAGTTAGCATATATTGAGCACATTGAAAAAGTGTAGATTTTTAGACGGTATAATTGTTAGATGAATTAAAATTGATTATTTGTTTTATAGTAAAAGTTTGTGTAAAAAAGAAGAACGACAAGAACAGTTTGATTATAAAAAACATGAATTGGTTCCATTTCACTTATGTTTTGACTGTAATTTACGTAATGAAAACTGATTTTTCCCTCGACGCAAACATACAATAAAATACCATAATATTCGACTGCTTATTAGATTACGTGATACACGTATACTGTAATTGTTATTCTCCGAATTTTTTATTATACGCGCACTCATGCAGTATCCAACTCAACAATTGATTACCTAACAATAGAGACACAATGGTTCATTTACACAAGTATAGGCATTCCACACAGTGAAAGCCAAAGTAGTACTAAAATGGAAGAGAATTCGCAATATGAAGTTATTTCCCAAACATTTAGTGAAGTTCATTGTCTTTTCCCACTAGCTAATTATGACTCAATATTGTATGTTTCTCATAAATTACTTAGAACCTGTAGCAACAAAATTACTAACGAACTTTTGCAGACTTTTATAAAAATGAACTTGTACGAAAGTTATTGTAAACACGCTTTATTTGATCTAGTACAGAAAAGTTGTTTGCAATTCAAATATAACTTTAAAGAACAAATATAATGTGACAAATAACAATTAACATGTGAACAGGAAGGTTCTGGATTTAAGTAATATGCCTAAGTGATAAGCACTCAAAATAAACCGAATTATGGACGAAAAGCCCCTAATGAACTGATATCGAATGCAGGACAACTAACCAGTAAAGATAGCTGTCTTCTGTAATAAGATGGTAAACTGATTTATAATTTATGTAAGATATTTAAACATAATTGTTTGTAGGATTAAGATAATTGTTAAACCATTCACGAGTCAAACCAATTGAAGTCCTAATCATCTGAGCTAAATCTTGCCCTCTGTATCGTTAAAGCACCTATTAAAGTTGTAGCAAAGCATCAAGGGACTTGAAATAAGCAGTTGGACAATCAAATGAATGGATGGAATTTATCGACAGCTTAAAATGAAATTATAAACAATGTAAGAGTTGTGAGCAAAGATGGATAGTGCCTAACAGTGGAATCCATGATGTACGTTTGTAAAATTTCAGAAAACTCATTTATAGTATATTCGGTTAGTTCATATCAAGTTATTCTAATCAACTCGTGATATTAAGAAGGATCTTCCAGTATCATTGGTAAGTGCTAGGTTTGAAGCTATTACGAGTTCACTTAGTATGCGAACGGAACAAAGACGTGTGACCTTAGACCAATAAGCTAGCTATTTGATGCGTCCCAGCCCCGCTAACTGGAGGAAGAATTCCAAGCTTGGGACGGGAAAGTATATTCCGTAAGCCAGAAGCGCGAGTGAATAATAACAGATACAAATCAAATGTATATATAGCATAAAACTGTCCTTGGGAATCGTAGCGAAAATAGCATACTAAAAATACACAACGGACCAATAGCGCTAAAGGTTCTCCCAAGTGGGTAATACCACATGAAGGTGAAAAGTGCGCTTCCAGCGCAAAAACAAGGAAATTCAAATTTCCAGAATAAAATTACAAAATTAAGGCATTTACCAAGTGAGTTCTGGGGATCTGACATCCCCAACAGTAAGTAACTGTCTTACACTCAACATGATTGAAATCAACTGTTCACAGCTTCTCGCTAGAACTATGAAAATCGCCTCTTGAAATTAGTCACTAATAAATACGAGATCTTTATGAGGTTAGAAATATATCAGGTTAGACATTCTTCACTAAACTTGATGGTTTTGGGTTCGATAACCTTATGAAATTTCTAGTGCGTATTATTAACATATCTCATACTAGAACAGGGAAACTGTCTGTTCATTGACTGTTTAACTGTTGGGATGTGGTCTGCTTGATTGGTATATAAACAGAGTATGCTTGAAATATAACGATTCATATCTCAGAGGCTGAGACTTGCGTTCTGGACTTAACTGGCTGAGCTAGACAGGGAAGCGGGGCCAATCAGAACTCTAGGCCGTTCTTACGTGTTTACGCGTCTTTGGTCCGGTCGATAATAAGCTGCCCTCTAATCAGCAGTCCACAAGTATAACATTAACTGAGGTCAATTTGTGATATAAACTATAAAATCTAACAATCTCTAAAGATGTTTTACATTAATAATAACAATAATTCGGTTACAATATACGAACCTCAATTTATTTATTGGTAGAATGACCGACCATTCATTCAATAAATATATAAACAAAATTAAGAACCATTCATATTTTATTTATAATATTCTATAGATCAAATGTATGATTTTTAAACTATACCATTATATTCTGTAGTCAAGGATGAATAATTGTGAAACTATTTTCATTAGATTAAACCATTTTAATAATATGAAGAATTGGATTTATCAATGGATTATATATTTATTAATTTACAATATTGTCAGTATGTCATTTCTTAACTCATTTGTATTAATCTTAATTCATATGCTATAATATTCAGTATTCGTTTTGTGCGAGACTGTAATTTATGGATGAGCTAATCAGAAGCGTTTCAGGGATTTCAAGGTCATGGCGTTAATTTCAGTACCTGATGCTTACGAACGATTGGTTCACAGAGGATTTTAGAGAAGACGTGATAATTGAGCTTCTACAATAAATGAGACTACTAAGAAGTTCCTTCATTTTTTAAATTGTGGTAATCACATGACGTGTGGACCTTGTGCAGACCACCGTGATGATGTTGTGTTTCGATATGATATATGTTGGAGGAAGAATTCTGCTAGGATGATTGAGCAATTTATGGTAATTGTCGCGAACTGTATAATAAGAGCACCAGTAACATTGACTGCAACATTCGCAGATGTTAACGAAGTTTCAGTTGTTCAGTGGTATAGGTTTTGTAGAGATATATGTGTAATAAAAATGACAAGCTAACACAACGGGAGTGCACACAAACAATATTGAAGCTATGTAGTCGAGGCCCACCATTATGGAGTTGTATGGATGAGTTCGTCTACCATATGCATTACGATTTTAGAACTTCTGAACTTCTTTCTAACCTTGGCAAGTTTTTGAACCATGTAAAAGAAGTATATCAACTTTATTTCTTTGGTTTTGTATAATATTTTTAGTCTAGACTGACTGTTTCTTGATTGACTAATATTTTTCAAGGTCACTTAGGATTCCTTAAGAGGTCGTCCATAAATTATAGTCTCACCGTTGAAGCTACACGGATTAAGAAATAGTGTGGAATTTTAGTTAACTAATAGTTAAAACGACCCCAAGAATTTACTTGATATTCTGTGAAGTTGTTTAAAAATATCAATGGGATCCAGAATATTCCTCGAAAAATGCTCGAAAAAAGGCCCTGAAGTTTAACGGAAATATCTAAAAAGTGAATAGTCATGTGTCACATTTCTGATTGAATGATTACCTATCCAACTACTATGTTTAGTAGTGTTCTAAAACCCTCCAGAAGCCCAAGGTCATCTGAAATACCATGAATACCCTAAATTTTCTGTACCTAGAACGAACCATGGAGTAAAGTGTCCTTTTCTATACTTCACACCTTTTCTCTCGTGTTCAAGTTGTCGTGTAGATTTAACCTGGTGTTATTAGAAGAGTTTAGGGAACCAATACAAGAGTTCAGTCAGAAGATTTATCAAAAAATGTATTATATTCCACAGATTGAAGTCAGTGACAGGTTTAAACCTCCTTTATCTAGCTTAGGTGAGAACAGTCAGACAGTATCACTCAAAGTCGAGTACAATAACTGTATACAGTAAATAAATAAAGAAGAAAACTGTTGTTCAACTATTTCCTTTTGATAAAATTTTCTTTCACATGCAAATCTACTGTGCTTATGAGGTTCGGTCAATGGATCAATCCACAGATTTGTATGGTCTTACTAGTGTTACCATTACTATGTGTTACATCAGTTGACTATGAAGTATTTCTAAATGTATGAATCACGTATGCAGAAAGGTTATATTTTAGAATAGCCTGTCAATCATCATTGAAGTAAGATCTGAAATAAACACAGAGATAGAGAACATTAACAGAAGACGAGACAAAAAGGGGACCGAATTTCAGTTGCAATAAAGACTTAGATATGAGAGATATAGTTTGAAAGAAAAAACAAGACTGAAGTATAAACAGTTGGGGATGACACTTAACTCAAGATTAAGTTTAATACATATAATTGATTTACAACTGAATAGTGATCGATATCTTGTTTGTTTAATCCTTTTGTGCTGATCAACTTCTGTCGATCAAGCGCCATTATGGTCAGTAGTCTGAGTGATTAAAATACATTGGGTGCACCAGGTTTAAATTTTAGGTGGTTGGAGGAAGTCGACAAAAACACCTAGACCTAGTTTTCCTATTATTTGATACTAGCCAGCAGGATGCACTTGTAATCTTGAAGGAACTTATGATACCTGGTAGATTTGATCCTGTATCAACCAGCTTCACATTTACAGACAGTATGGTGCACAAGATGTAAAGTTACTTAGATTAGTGACGATGTCTCACTTTCATCTACGGAATTCGGTCAGCACTACTCCGTAGTCAATCAATTGTGAGTACATTTCAATCCTACAGGAGGTCAACCATTGATTATTAATATTACAATTTTTTAGTATTGTGACATTAACCAACTAAGTAGATAGTCAAGTGTGACAAGTGAATAAGTAATAAATGAACATAGTTGTGATGCGAATTCTGTGGTTACTTTGTACAAGCACTTTATTCCTTAACTTGTTCTTTCTTTATTTAACTGACAAAACGTCCATTTATCCTAATATTTTATTTATAGACGCATATATTTGAAGGGTTTCATGGAGATTGTTAAACAATTTTAGTATTATTCGTCGCAGACTAATCTCATTTGAGATACTGTTAAAAAACATGTAGCACCAGATAGCTGTTTTATCTTACAATGGAGCTTCTCAAAAGTCCCGTGGTCTCGTATTGAACTCTTAACCATTAGAACGGTTATTTCGTCATCCACTTGAGGCAATTTAGATGTGAATAATAGTTCTAACACATATTCGAAAACTCAGTCATTCGATTAGCAATTTAATCTTTCTAAATTTATTCTATTAAGGTTCGATTTTTTATTCGACCAATTCAGTTTGTCGAATCATTTAGATTCTGGTAGTATACAGACTAGATTATTGTTTGTCATTAAATTCTTCTGTTATGTGGTTAACGGAATCATTGGAAGAAAAAAAGGAATTATATGTGGTAGATAATCTCAGCTAATCTAGATTATGACTATTCTAATTCAGAAATGCTTTGTTAGGTGTTATATCAATCTCGTTTCGTTCCGATTGATTCTTCTAACATCATTTCTCAAAAGGAACTAGAAAATTAATCTAATATATTTTATGAATATTGTAATATACTAAACTGTTATTGGTTTCTTTTCTCCATACTCCAGTTCCATGTCGAACTAATGAAATTTACAATACCACATCTAATCAAGCATTAACTTGTAATTCATTACTTACAAGTAATGTATTACAATATTATATGGAACAATTATTAACTCATTATGGTAAAGATAGTGCATACAAAATTGGTAATCCAATCAAATTTGGTACTGCTGAATTTTTCGATATAAGAATTAGTGGTTTATCTGCTGTACAATTCTCAGAACCAGTTGATATTATTGATCTACCATCAGGAAACATACGAATGATATTTCCGTTATTATTTGACTATCTTGTTATAAATGGAAAAATGAAAATGATCATGTTTGCTACTAAACCTCGGGTAATTAAATGTGTTAACTAGTAATAATAATTATATTGTTTATATCTCAATGAGTAGAAAATTTTATTTTTGACGTTTTGTGACTTAATGTTAGTCACTTCTTCAGAGTATTAACTATTGTTTTAAAGTTGGATATTATAAGTTAGAATAGTTCATGTTATGTAGATAGATGTAATTTACAGAAAACCACTTGAACTCAGCTTTCTTGCAAGTTAGCACTTGTCAGCAGCTTGAGATCATAGCTACTATCTTGATGTGGTATTTGGGTTTAATTATCGTGACGACCCATTTAAGCTGCATTGTCTGAAACACCTGTTCCTTTAGGTCTATTAATGTCAAGCAGGTTTGTTGGAGAATTTTAAGACTAAAATCAATAACTTAAGGTCCGAGGGAGAAGTTCTACTGTTCACAGTGTTAGGGTGTGATGGCAGTATAAAGTTATTGGTTTCTTTTTCTCCAGTTCTCCAATTGAAGTCCTGTAATCTGACTCCAATTAGATCATATGATGATGTTATCGAAGTATACATCTCGGCTACCCTCGTACATAATTACCGACCTAATTTACGTTAGAGAATAACGGGATAAGTCAAATACGAGAATGAATTTTGAATACGTATATTTCGTACACTCGATAGTCCAGACAGACATTCAGTATGAAAGGCTGGAAATTGGAATTGAGAGGTCAGGTGAACCAATACGATTTGATCAAGTGTGACTCAGTATTTATAATCAGACAAAAATAGCCTGCAGACGTGTGATGAATAGGGTAAGCAACACACGCATACACTCATTCAAAGACGTCCATGGTTAATAAGCGAATAATTGACAAGGTCAGATTATGACTCAAGAAATACGACTAAGCTGGACTGTCCGGAAGCTAGAATAACCAAAGCATGCTTCACATAGTACCAAACACTACAAGATCTCATGGTGAGTAGGTTTATTATCCAACCACCGAATCAGAATTCTATCTCTCCTATTTTCAAAATGCAGTCATTTTTTGGCATATTTCATTCAACGTCACAGGTAAACTACTGTCTCATTCCAGACTTAATTGCTTCCTATTTAACCCCTTATTTGTTCTTAATTAAGTTGTCTAATGACTGATTAAAAAATAATTAGGATACTTGATAACGTTATTAAGATGTTAATAGAATTTTAAAATGATTTTTATCTTTATTGTTTTACTCTTCAACAATGGATATGGATAATGCCATACCACAATTCGGTCGACCAAGTATGTTATATGGACTAGTGAATTGTAACTCTTTAGTTCAAGAATATCATGGTCATTGCTAAACCTGTATAGTTTTATAATTGTGATGGTATTCATTAAGAATCACAAGCTAGAAGAGCATATCCAACTAATATTGCTTGGTTCTAAACTGTTGTTCAGCTGATATCACTTTTTAATAAAGATCACTTTTGGAATATGCTTTTTTAATTTCGAAGGATAATATTTTTGAAGATCATCTTTATTAACAAGATTAGTTGTCACGAAATAAATTACCAAGTTATTATTATTATTAGATCGGTTATATTCCAGCTGATTTTCTCTTAACCTATGTACGACTATCCATCGCCTACCTTGACAAAGAATATTAGTCCGTATACGAGTAAGTTGGAAGGAATTTGGAGGTATCTAAACCAGAAAGCGATATCAGTTCATGAAATGATTGACTGTCGATCTAACCCATGTTGCTAGAAGCTGGCTACCCTGTAAAGTCAAGGTAATAACTACAATTATGGGCTGAAGACGGTCGACATTGCTCAAAATTAGTCACAATGATATATATACTCTACCTTATGATAAAACTCGAGTTTTAACCTTTCCTCATCAATATCTCCTCGCTCTGTCTTTTCGAACTATGTTCGTAATTTGAAGTCTTTCTCACTATAATTACCACTCTATTATATCTCTTTACTAATCATTTTGTTAATTTCATTTAAATTGTGTTAATACTGTATGGCAGTTTAGACTGATGCATATGTTTACCAGGCTTTACATTGATTATGACTGACTAACTTTTTCTCACAAAAGTAATTATAATCTCCACAAAACATATATATTTTCTATAGGTCATAGTCTTCAGGTTGTGTTATGCAATCATGGAAACATTGATGATTTTTATCTTCTTGTAATGATTATTTGCTTCTCTTTTAACTAGTTACTTGAAACTTTTGATGAAACTTTTCTGAATCTATTAGTTTATTTAACTGGTGGGCAAAATTTTGAAATAATGCTACCATAACAATGTACGAGATAAGGTAAGCGAGATAATAAGATCATCTTATGATTTTAAAGCCAATGAATAGAGAGTCTTAATACATTAGCCCCCCTGAATGCCCTGGTACGGCCGAGAGTGGGGAGAGTCCGCTCTCCCTCTCGAAATACTCTCACACGGCCACGCGTATACAGCCTCTGCCAGGGAAGTCCTACTCATTGCCTTCTCGTGGCGGGGGTGTTGTCTACGAAAATGAGAGGACGAAAAGCGAATGTCCGGCGCTTTAACCGGATTCCAAATCAATGGTGCACATGGGCTCCAGTATCCTGCGGGAACGAATGGCGTATGAACCAATCGTTGGTCACCGGCTACCATGGGACTGCATCTCCTTACGATGCTCCACTGCCTTGTGGGTTAGACCTTTAGGTCAAAGGCTCGGGGAGTGGCCCCCTAAGATAACCACCTGCTTCGGTTTGGGCACCCGGGCAGTATCACAGCCCACACACAAATTGATGAACTCTTTATGCCTACGGAAATTACCTTTCTTGCTTTGAAAAACAAACAATTGATTCAGATTATTATCATTACAATTATTGTCATTATTAATACTGTTATTATTATTACTAGTATTATTGTCATTATTATTATTATTATTATTATTATTATTATTTTCCACATTATTCACCCTCTTTTATACTTATACAGCGGCTCGTCTTTGGCGGAAATCCGACTGTATCTATACGTTCTCGAGTCACTGTCCGGTTGAAAATTGTATGTTACCACCGAATACGAGGACTGAAGCAGATTTTCTGAAACCACGTGCACCATTCAAACTGGCTGCCTTCAACGTTCGCACATTTATGCAGGTCGGACAACAGATAGGGCTGGCTATGTCTTTGGAAAGTCTTAATATCGACGTGTGTTGTCTATCCGAGACCCGTATTCAAGACTCTGGCGAAGTACTACAAATTCGATCTCCATCTGTCGCTTCGAAAAGCTTGTTTTACGTGCGCTTATCCGGGGACCCTGTGGCATCTTCGTCTGGTCTTGCTGGCGTTGGTGTCGCACTAAGCGCTAGAGCTGAGGCAGCACTAGTCGATTGGATCCCCATTAACAGTCGGTTATGTGCTGTTAGATTAGAAAGTTCCATCAAAGTGAGAAGAAATCGGCGTGAGAAACGATGTCTTTTCGTCATCTCCGCCTATGCCCCGACAGATTGCAGCCCGGATGCAATCAAGGATGAGTTTTACCACCAGTTATCAGTTCTTCTCCAGAAAGTGCGTTCGACAGATATTGTAGTACTAGCCGGAGACTTGAATGCTCAGGTCGGGCGTCTAGGCACAGAAGAGAGTCGTTTAGGTGGCCGATGGGGACTCGTTGGTCGCAGGTCAGATAACGGGGACCGTCTACTGCAACTTTGCACAGACCACAACCTGTTTCTGGCTAGCACTAACTTTCGGCACAGTCATCGCCGATGTGCCACCTGGCGTCCTCCCTCTGCATCTCAAGCCTGGACTCAGATTGATCACATCGCGATCAGCTACCGCTGGCGTGGTTGTGTAAAGACTGCCGCTCCTTTTGGAGTACCTATCTGGACTCTGACCATGCCTTGGTCTGCGCCAATCTTACCTTACTTTTCAGTGGACAACGAAGTGAACGCCATCAACGGATTGATGTTAGCAAGCTGGTTGCAACTTCTGTTGCAAGTAAGTATCGAACCGAGCTAGCCTCTAGGCTAGCTACCACTCCACCGAAAAGTATAGATGAGCATTGGTTGCAATTGCATGACGCCATGAAAATGGCGGGAACAGTCAGTTGTGGGTTTGCGAAACGTCCCGCCTTTAAGCACTGGGTTTCTTCTGGTTCCTTACAACTCATTGAAGCCCGTCGGTCTACTCCGGGTGACCGTGAGTTTGACCATAAACGAAGGATGTTACGTAAGGAATTGGGCAAAGCTTGCGTAAGGACCGAGAAGCCTGGTGGTCGATGCGTGCTAATGAGCTGGAAGCAGCAGCTGCATCTGGTAACTACCGGAAGCTCTTCCAGCTCATCCGAGCCACTGGCAGCAAGAAGTCTGGTGTGAGTGAAACAATCTGCGAGGATGATGGGATGCCAATCACTAACATCCATCGACGTCTTGGACGATGGGCAGAATTTTTCGAAGGGCAGTTCAACTGGCCTGCTGCTCCGGCAACATCGGTCAGACTGTCCTGCCCTCCATGGCCGGTGACGACTGATCCACCAAATGAGGAGGAAGTCCGCAAGGAACTCCAACTCTTGAAGCGTTACAAATCACCTGGCCCAGATGACTTACCTCCGGCTCTTTTTAAAGATGGTGGTGACTTTTTGACTAAGGAATTGACGACGTTGTTTACAAAGGTTTGGGAACTAGAGTGTGTACCAACGTCATGGAATGAGTCGATAGTTGTCCCTATCTTTAAAAAGGGTTCACGTCGTTCTTGTAACAACTATCGGGGGATAAGTTTACTTCCGATTGCGTCCAAGCTATTGGCTTCCGTCATTCTTCGTAGGTTGTTCAAAACCCGAGAAAGATTGACTCGCGAGGAGCAGGCTGGGTTTCGTTCTGGTCGAGGATGTATTGATCATATCTTCACCCTCCGCCAAATGTTAGAACACCGCCATACTTTTCAAAGGCCAACAATCGTAGTGTTTCTTGACATCAGGGCTGCCTTCGATTCGTTGGACAGGACTGTTCTCTGGGATTGTCTATTGAAGAAGGGTGTGCCTGAGAAGTTTATTAACATCCTAAAAGCCCTATATAAAAACACCTCAGGCAGAGTGAGGGCATACAACCACCTCTCTCCATTGTTCCATTCGAGCAGTGGGGTTAGGCAGGGTTGCCCAATCTCACCATTCCTCTTCAACTTTGCCATCGATGACATTCTGGAAACAGCTCTGATGAATGTAAGTAATGGTGGTGTGGATCTGTTGCCTGGAGAAAGACTTCTCGACCTTGAGTATGCGGACGATATTGTCTTACTGTGCGATAATGCCCAAGGCATGCAATCCGCACTTAATCAGTTGGCAATCAGTGTCCGTAGGTATGGTATGTGCTTTGCACCTTCGAAGTGCAAAGTACTTCTACAAGACTGGCAGGATTCTAATCCTGTACTCACCCTGGACGGTGAGCAGATAGACGTAGTTGAGAAGTTCGTGTATCTGGGTAGCTGCATAAGTGCTGGTGGGGGTGTGAGTGATGAGATCAATGCACGAATAGTGAAAGCCAGAGCGGCTTATGCCAATCTGGGCCACCTTTGGCGCCTTCGTGATGTTAGTCTGGCTGTAAAAGGTCGGATCTACAACGCGTCGGTGAGAGCAGTTTTGCTCTATGCTTGTGAAACCTGGCCTCTCCGAGTTGAGGACGTTAGACGACTCTCTGTGTTCGATCATCGCTGTCTCCGAAGGATTGCTGACATTCAGTGGCAACACCATGTCAGTAATGCAGAGGTTCGGCATCGTGTGTTCGGGCACAGAGATGATAACTCAATTGGTGTCACCATCTTGAAACACCGACTTCGGTGGCTTGGACATGTTCTCCGAATGTCGTCCCAGAGAATTCCACGTCGTGCATTATTTGCCGACTCTGGGACTGGTTGGAAGAGGCGGAGAGGTGGTCAGTGCATGACATGGTGTCGTGGCATGAAAGAAAGCTGCAAAGGACTGGCTTGTGTTGGTCCTTCACGACTCCCTGGTTGGGGTCCGAGAGATGGTGCTACACAGTGGCTAGAGACGTTATCAGATATGGCTCAGAATAGAAGCCAGTGGCGATCCTGCTGTAACCTTCTTTTACTTTCTTTCTAAAAAGTGGTTGTGTCTCCTTTACCTGAAAGATTTCTTCTGATTGTACCTTTTCGTTCCGTCGTTACTACCACACTACCTTACTCCAATCTCTTCGTCATTGTTCTCTTTTTCTTTTGCGTTCCCTAGTTTTTTTTTTCTTTCTATTTCTCTTCGAATTTTCATTGTTTTGTGTGGCGCATATATATTGGCGCTCTCTTGTACCAATATTTATGTGTTCAAATAATAATAAAATAATAACTTAATACATTAAAAGTATTTTACATCAGAAACAATTAAATCTGTTTAAGTTTAACGGATTTAAAAATTTCACTGTTCTTCAGGACTATGAAATATCAATAAACAGCCTCATTAATCGATATGTGGATCAATTCACCTTAAATGTCTCTTTCGAAATCTTTTTCATAACCATAGAAATTTTAGTATCATTATTAGAAAGGTTTGAGTTATTCCATTAGTTGACATATGCTCAGCTTGCGTGAATTGTCTCGATCTAGTCGTTTTTCACAAGGTTTTATTGAATAAATAGACGGTAATTAACAGTGGATCATATAATGTTCATTTCGTCCTATTTTGAACTTGTAAGCTGTATGTACTGACATCTTAGCGTTGTTTGTACCTAAACTCAGTGGATAATGTGTTTAAATTTGAAGTGAAATGTATTGAGTTAGAGTCTGATTGTGAACAACAATATTGGAATTCAGGTTCTTTCACTGATAAGTTCCGAACAAGATGAAACTCGTGTTCTAGATCCCACTGTTGGTCACTATCCATTTTTTCCTATAATTAATTGTTATCAAGAACTCATTATTGTCAGCAAAATTTTTATCAGTAAATTCGTTGAAGAATTAGGAAAATTTAATTACATTACTACGGTATGAGGTAAGTTGTACGAGAAAAAAACTTTATCTGTATTAGCATTGTTACATAACTAACACTCCTATTATTTTGTAAATCATTAAGAAAGTAATCTCTTTGAGAGTTTACTATGAACAAGATGAATTAGAACAAAAACTCAATATCTTACTTGACATGTACAATCTACATAGAAATAAATGGTGATTTGACACATTGAATAGTAACATTTTTAGCTAAAAATAATAACAGCATAATATATTATACATAGGTATTTTATATAATTTAGATTAAATATCCTTCATTTTTAAAGTTCTCACAGCAACAACAAAAAAGAACAGAAAATATGCACTCGATTCTAATTGCCTTTATTATTATTATTATTAATGGCTTTATGAGATAGTGGAGAAAATTTGTAGCTCAGGTCTACCTGAAGTTTGTGCTGATTATTTCGTTCAGAAGAACGATGAAAGCTGTATGACTGAACCATCCAGCTCAAAGAACAAAACTCCATTAAAATTAATGGCTTTATTCAATATTATATTTTCGTTAGAATATAGAATTCTCAGAACAAAGTATTTCAATAACTTTCCCTTTCTTATTTTTTGCTTAATCATGAGGATAAATATTGAATAATCGCCAGTTAGATAGATATTAGCAATTCAGAAAACGATATCTGACTAACATTCATTCTTTTTAATGTATGTTGCCAGTCATCACGATCTCTCTGATTGTACTTTTTTATAACTTGTACGAAGTTCATAAACGCGCCTAAATAAATTATACGGTTAACAGACATAATGAAGTGTTAAAACAAACAAAACACTAGTGACTGACTCCAAGAGACGTTTCCTGAAGTTCCAGTGAGAAGCCGTGACCAGTGGAGTTCAATCAGGTCTGTTGTGAGATGGCGTACGGTGGCACAATTTCTTGGATTGTTTGAAGCTAGATACTAACACCGTTGAATGCCGGCTCAGTGGTCTAATGGTTAAACGCTTGTGTGCGAGACCGACAAGTCCTGGGTTTGAACCTCGCAAGGGGGCGGGGTTGTGGACGCGCACTGCCGAGGCGACCCATACTAGGACGAAACGGCCTTCCAATGCTTCCACATTTTCCATGGTGGTTTAGCTTCAATTGACTCATGATTTCAACTATTGAAAAACAGATAACTTCTTGAAAAATTTAGATGGTAAGAACGAATAGCCGAGATATTCAAGCAGGTCATCAGTGATCTTTATACTATAGTTACAGTTAATATACTTAATAGTTTTTTTTTATCTAAATATACTTTCTCTTCTTCTTTTTTTTCTTCTTCACATTTCATAGCCAGTTGAAATTAAAATTAAATCAATCAAAATATATTTGGATTTACTTCTTATACAACCAATGGACAATGATGTATTATTACCAATTCGTGTGAACAAAGTTACTGTTATCCATTGGAATAATCTTCGATTTGATAGTAAAGGTGTTTTTACAATCTTTTTTAAAATGTTCAATCAATTTCGTTTATATGATGGTATCATTAAACGTTCAATTGAAAAAGAAATTTATCAACAAATTGAAAGATCATTAAATTCATTTTTTTAATCATTAAAAAATGAATAAAAGTCAATTGTTTATATTTATTTCATTGTAAAATTGAATAATTTTATTTTATTTTATTAATTAGTAATTGAAATCAATATTATATAGTTGTAAGTTCTATTCAAGCAATAGAGTTAGACAAAGTTGCACAATCTCAACATTCCACTTGAATTTTGTTATCGATAACGTTCTGGAAACAGTTTTGATGAATGTAGAAAATGATAGTGTGGATTTGTTGTTTAGAGAAAGACTTCTCGACTTTAAGTATGCGGGTGATACCCAAGTCATACAATCCGCACTTAATCAGTTGGCAATTAGTGCTTGTAGGTATGGTGTATGCTTTGCAAATTCCCGGTGCAAAGGTCGTGTATTTGGGTAGTTACATAAGTACTGGTGGTGGTGTGAGTGGTGAGGTCAATTCGCGTATAGTGAAAGTCAAAGTGGCCTATGCTAATCTGGGTCATCTTTGGCGCCTTCGTTCTGTCAGATTGGCTGCAAAAATCTGAATCTATAACACGTCAGTGAGAGCGGTTTTGCTCTATGGTTGTGAAACCTGGCATCATCGAGTTGAGAATGTTAGACTACTCTTTGTGTTTGATTATCGTTGTCTCCGAAGCCTTGCTGCCATCCAGTGGCAATACTATGTAAGTAATTCAAAGGTTCGGGATCGTGTGTTTGGGTACAGCAACGGTAATTAAATTGCTATCACTATCTTGAAACATCAACTTCGGTGTCTTGGACATGGCTTACGAATGTCGTCCCAGCTAGTTCCACATCGTGCATCATTTGCTGACTCTGGGACCGGTCGAAAAAACAGAGAGGTGGTCAGTGTACGACATGTTGTCGTGGTACGAAAGAGAGCTGTACAGGACTGGCTTCGGTTGGTCCTTGACGATTCCTTGGTTGGGGTCCTAGAAATGGTGCAACATAGTGGCTAGAGACGTTATCAGATATGGCTCAGAATAGAAGCCAGTGGCCATCCTGCTGTAACTTTATTTTACTTTTTTCATAAAAAATAGACGTATCTTCTTTAACTGGAAGAATTTTTCTGGTTGTACATATGACGACGGACCATGGGTGAACTGGAGGAAGCTGTAGAAGGCTCAGAAGGAGCCGTAGATATTCCACCCAATCACCTTTGGGAAGAATATTCTAGAATCCCTACGTGTAGCATCTTGACTGGATAATGGTAATAACCCCCTGTATGTGGATTGGAGGACTGTATGATTTCATTTTTACTAAAAACTATTATTACCTGACAATTTTGTATTGTAATTGACACTGTCTGGGAAAATATCCCTTTCATTAGCCTTCTGTCTTCTCATTGCGACTTGCAAGGGTTTTGGCGTTCTAGTGTTCACGTTATACGCGGCATATCAAGAACAACCTTTTAGATATAACAGTACATTTTCTGACTGAACTGCTCTTCCCATTATTATAACTTCACTCTCATACACTAATTTCTGTTCGTTATTGTTCCCATTTTTCTTATACGCACCATACATTCTCTATCTCTTCACATTCTCACTGTTACTGTGTGGCGCATGTATTTGATGCTCCTTTATACCAATATATATGTGTTCAAACAAATAAATGTATATTTGTAAAATGAATAATTTGTATTCAAGTAATTTTACGTTTCTTTCGTGCGTCGTTTTGTTCTTTGGGTTTTTCTCATTTATGTTACCTTGTGGTGTAGGAGAGACTTCCGTCTACTAACAAAAATGACGAGTATACTGCCCAGCAGTTAGCTTTCTCTTCTATTTTATGAGTGTGAAATTCGACATTTAGAAAGGATAATAATAATAATAACAGGCGAGACTATAATTTATGGACGAACCAATCAGATATAAAATAATGAGTCTTGTTTTTGGCATTTGGCTAAATAGAGTTTTGGCATTATAGCTGATGTCAGTTCGTGATGAAAACCCTAAATCTAATTTTTAACCCTAACAATCAACTGTAAATGAGAATTCTAACTGCTTTATAATCCTCACTTAGTCCTATTCAGTAGGCGTCCACTCTCAAGGTCACTTCAGCGTCGCTCAAAGGTCGTCCATAAATTATAGTCTCACCTAATAACATAGCTTTATTCAGTATCATATGTTAGGTTACTAGTGCTTGAGCATAGATGTCTTCGGAGCATCGATCACATATTTTGAAACCATCAAGTAACCAGTGTTGATGTTGGGAATAAAATATTGGATAAAGTAAGTAAATCGGTTGCCTTTTCCGATCCGATTCCTTTTAATGTATTATATTATATTACTTACTAATATTCAGTAGATAATGTATCTTGTTACTTTCGAAAAAGTGGCTTACCGCCTTTTTCGTTGGTTTGTATTATTCCCAAGGACATACACGAAATTGTAATTGTACATTATTAACATTTTCTGATGTGTGGGTGAGAATGACAATGATTGGTTGTCTGCTTAGTCAGATATGTAGATGGTCTGACAGGTGTCAGATGAGTTACATATTCCCCTATCCTTATTATTATTATTATTATGACTCATTATTGATTGTTCATTGTTGTTGGATTGTGTCAGGGTTTTGGTGTGGAAATATATTTACGTTGTTGTCAGGCTAATCACGTGTTCTTAGTCTGAGTTATGTTGACGTCCTGTAGAATAGACACTGGGAGGGAATTTTATGCAGATATTCGAATAAGGTAAATTAACGTCCTATAAGTGTAAACGTGGAAAACTAACCGTTCTAACATTTTCAATACTTGTTTTCATTTATTTTGTGTCCATTGAACACTTATTTATTTACAATAGTTTCCAAATTTTGTGTTCTTAGTTCTCAGTTTGATTACTGACTACAATCGTGCTATTAATCAATCTATCGGGTGTTACATCGGTTATCGAATGTTTTGGTCGATAGCATTCGATGTGCACTAAGAGGGCCTTGACACACATGACATTGATCACCACCCAGTGGTTAATCAATTGTGAGTACATCTCAGCCCGGATAGCCCGGCGGTAACGTCTCTGACCAGGAAGCTGGGTGATACGGGATCGAATCTGTCAGGGAGCACCAGTTCCCTCAAGATTACAGGTACACCTTGCTGACGAGTGCCAAATAGCACGAAACCTGGGTCCAGGCTTTCCTGTTGACTACCTCCAATCACCATTTTATCTCAACATAGTGCACGCAATGTCGAGTTCCTAAACCAGTGACCACATTTCAACTCGGTCGATAGCATTCGATCCGCATTAAGAAAGACTTGACATACAGGTCAAAGATCACCACCCAGTGACCAATCATTTGTAATGTTTTTGTACCTAATTTCTATATTAATATAACGGAAAACATTTGTTCATTGATTTTAAAATGACACAGTAAACGCCTTTTGCATCTCAATATCATATCCACGTCACTTATTTTTATACTTGAAAGAATGAGGAATCGCTGCAATCCCTGCGACTTGGAGTAAGAACGCCAAGACTGATATAAGTGAAGATTTATTAAGACCAAAACATGACCCTAGTAGGAAATACACTCATCCGTACATATTGATTGTACATCCATTTTGATTATTAACTAGGATGAAATAACATATGTAGTAAATATCCAAAGTTATGACAAATTACATGCTACATGTCATGATGAGCATAGTGTACGTTAATTTTGTACAAGAATATCGTATCTTCAATAAACATCACATTCAAATAAATTAACGATATACTGAATAAAATACCCTGAACAACAGAAGTGATGTTGAATAAAAATTACAATGAGTAAACTAATATAATTTTACCCTTTCATTCCATCATATCACTAACAAGTTAAGGCATGTGTTAGAAACACAAGTATTCTATTTTAGACAAATCATTTGTTGTTGTTTTTTTTGTTGTTATTTCTGCGCATAGATCAGTAACATTTAAGATCTTCACGTCATGGAATGATAAACTGACGAACTAAATATTACCCAAGATTATCAAAAAATCCACTTCCTTCTAGTATTGTATTATTGAATGGTGAACACTAACGATTACTTCAAAGATTATACGTAAAGGTGTCGGTTTCAAAGAGAGTTTAATAAATAAATCATCAATTCATTCAGATTATACTTTTCCATCTTCTAAGTTCTTTTTTTCTTTAATACATTACTTTACTTCACAAACACTTTACAATGGCTAGATTCATCATGAGTTATAGAATGAAATTTCACAGATTGAAATCATGAGTCAGTTGAAGCTAGAACACCATGGAAAACCTGGAAGCACTGGACGGCCGTTTCATCCTAGTATGGGAATTCTCATCAGTGCGAATCCACGATCATGCACCCCGCGCGCGAAACCAGTAGGTCCTGGGTTCAGATCCCGCGGGGTGCGGAATCATTGATTCGCACTAATGAGGAGTCCCATACTAGGACGAAACGGCCATCCAGTGCTTCCAGGTTTTCCATGGTGTTCTAGCTTCAACTGACTCATGATTTCAATCTGTGAAATTTCTAAAATCTCCACAAACCCCTTCTGATTATAGAATAAAAGACAAATACGTCTTATAAAACATTTCATTATGTTAATAATAAATATTGATAGTAACAATAATGATATCACATTTTATATGAGAACTTGTTGTACAAAGCCTATAGCATTTATGGTATAGAGGGTGGTGGTGGGGGAAACTGAAAACTGAATGGAAATGCATATATTCATTTTTTTTTTCGTTCAAATTACCTTTTGGTTATATGTAAACTAATATGATACATATGAATCAAAAGGATTAAACATAATATCAACTTATTTGTGAATTATATGCAAGTTTTAACAATTTCCATGGAACTCTTGAATGTCAATAAAATAAATTAATTAACGAAACAAGGAACTAAAAAGCATATCAATCCAGGAAGAATAGGAATGAATTGTAATGATTCATTTGTTTATCTCTTATCAATAGAATTGTAAATTATTGTCACTGAAACGCTGTACACTATAATATCTGTGTGGATTAAGGTTTATTATTCTGTGCATTTATGTAATTATACATATATC